CACCAGGTAGGAAGGAGTGTTAACATACAAAATTGTTTGGGATCAACAGTACAGAATTATAAGATAATTCGCAACTGTATGCTTTTCCTTTTTTGTCTGCAAGAAAAACTGTATGTTGAAGCCAAAATATTGCACAGCATCTCCTATATAATTCTATAGCCATTTACCCTCGCCCCTTGAATGCAAAGGAATGATAGCTGATAAGTTTTAGCAAAGTACTTTTTATTATATCTGGTCATAAAGTGTCCTTACGTTAAATCAGAAATACACATTAAATTCATAAACAGTATAAAAGTGCGCACGAAATCTCGCTCATAGAATCCTTTAATGAATATATTATAAAATATATAATATATTTCCATTGATAGATAGGTTATTTGTCTCCAGTATCGTTTGGTGAAACTTCTAGAGGGTCAATCACAGTATACGATAAAATTTACTGCATGAATAAAGGTTGATATAAATATTGTCTTGATGACCCACAGCGGTCATGATACAAGTCAAAAGAATCTGGATTTTAAGCGGGAATATTCTTCAAATAAAGCCCAATGGGGCAATGGCAATGGCAATGAAAGGTCTTTAAACGATGTGCCTGCTGTAAATTACTCTAATACATGAAATATTAAATAATTTACTAGCCTATATAAAAGTACAATACCAGTGTCTGGTCGCATGTTTGTCCCAAATATCCAAGTTGTACCGCACGCACGGAGGAGTATATTTGGCGTTCGTGTGATAACAGATAGCTTTTAGTATTATACTTCCACATAATCATTCTTCATCGAGCAGTGTAAATGCAGGGAATGTTACAGTCCATAAAATCCAGTGCTTTCACAGTCAGGATAGCATTGTTTATACACAGTTAGGGTAGCATTGTTGTTTACACACAGTTGGCGATGTTTGGGAAATCAAAGGATCCCGTTACAAAATAAATGGTTTGAATATCGGACAGGATACACTTCAACTATAAACATGTAGAAGACATGTACGTTTCTACGGCGATGCGTGCAAGCCAGGCGCGTGTATAGTCCTTTCCTTGCAAGTGAAATATGATCCAACTTCTTGCTTGAAATGTACACCAACACTTATTATTGATGACATTCAGCACAGCAGGAAGTCGTGTCATGATGAATATGAATTTAGAACAGTTCCTTTCACGATTTCTTGTTGCAAAGTGCATTTTTATCACCCGAAATTATAACGCATAAAGTTGCAATTTTCCAAACGCGACAAACAAACTCCTCTACTACCCCTCCCACAGCAATTATACTTTTTGCCACCCAGAATTTAGGGTACACGTGGAGGAGCGTAGAGGAAAGAGCCTGAGAATAAGGTTGGCGATTGCTTTACGTTTTCGTCGTACTTGAACGGTCGCCATTACTGGCACTGGACTACATAGGATAAGAATAACTACAAGGCTATGGCATGATCGTTGCCACGAGAGCGGCTAAGCAACCTGACCTCCTCGTTCGAAGACACTTTGCCAGGGGGGGAGGATCTGAACTGGAATGAGGGGGCTTTCAAAACAACACTATAAAAAACACGATATAAATAGAAATGATTACTTTATTATCCGTATTCGACAAAAAACAAGAAAATTAGAAATATCTTGTTTAATTAATATGAACTTTTCCTTACATATTTTTTAGAACAAAGACGTTATTTATTGTTATAACATTTAGCTTTTGACAATCATACCAATCTTTTTAAAGTATTGAATTTGACTTCGTTCAACCGTATATGTCATATTATTTATATCGTGTTTTTTTTTCGTGTTGTTTTGAAAGCCCCTCATTCCAGAGCGGATCTTCCCCCCTGGCGGCGTGTTTTCGAACGAGGAGGCCAGGTTGCTGAGCCTCTCTCCGTGGCAACGATCATGTAGTGATTAGTGAATGCTTCTGTCGAAAAGTGAATTTTGAATTATGGACAAAAAAAAGTTCGTCGTGTGCCGCGGGAATTGCCGCAATGGTGAACGAACCAAGTCCTTTCGAATGAGAAACGTTCATACCATTAGGCGATGTTAAATTTATTGCTCTGCAACGATTCTGAGGCGAGATATTGAACTTGATGTCGGAGAGTATATCAGATAAGTGTCTAGCCTTGTAGTTATTCTTATACTATGTAGTCCAGTGCTAGTAATGACGACCGTTCAAGTACGACGAAAACGTAAAGCAATCGCATCAACTAGACTCAGAAACAAAAAAAATGCATTCTATTAACAAGTGAGATATATTTTTTAGTATATATTGTTAATATTTTTTGAATTATTTCGTTATTAAATATTATAACGGTTAAATATTCCGTATAAATATTCAAAATATATAGACTACTCAGAGATTGGTGCGCCTGTGATCACTGTGATAAAATCGTGTGCTATATACAATATGACTGTTGACAAATACACCGTTCTGTTGAATGTCAATATTAATTATAAAATCTTTTTTTAAATATCAATGTTAAATTCTTCAATCTTGGTCTTGATATGTTTAATGTTGAACTGATGTTTTATATATGGTAAATACTAATCTTGGCCTTTACCACTTAGTTTCTCGAAACTATATATTTACATAAATGTAACATGAATAAGGCGTACGGGTTTATAAGATTTGGTTAAGGTGGCTCCCTACTGTTTTATGTCCGTATCGCGGAAATTTTGTCCACGCGCGAGATTAGTAGTGCTACACGCAACACGCGTGGTCGACGATGCACGCGTGGCGGCTTTTTTAAAATCGCGTCGTGATATACACGCGCGGGCAATCGTGCGATTGTCGGCTGGTCTCGCGATTAAATTGAAATCCTGATTTTTGTGACGTCACACAGATAAAAATAAATGTGCAATCCATACCATGGAAATATACAATTATTATGGATAACCAAAATCCATTCTATTTCCAATCAAAGTTCATACGATTTCCATTCTGACCTTCTATGGATTTTCATAATTTTTTCCATAAAAGACAAGATCACGAAAATTTTCCATTTTGTTACCGGCAGCATCAAAGGAGTGGCCTTTCTGTTCATTTCTTATTCTGTGGTAAAACATTAATTGATTTTGGCGACTATTTTACGCCGTCAAATGTTCGCCAATATTGAAGTTCGCATTTTCAAGATAAATTAGACATTGAACATATTTTCGACATTCAAGTTTGCATTTTCAGCATCCACGATCTATATTCAATGTCGAATCTAACTTCAATATTGAATTTAACTTCAATGTTGCAATTATCTTCAATGTTGAATCTATTAACTTCAATGTCGAATCAAACTTCAAATATCTTGAAAATATGTTCAATCTCTGATATGGATAGGTTGAAAACGACAACTACAATGTCCGATCTATTTTCAATGACAGACATAATGACACAAACATGTTGCATTATAAGAAACTTGAATATTGGTCGAAATGTGACACCATATTTACTTGCACGCGCGTGCCACACGCTAAAATTTGCCAATAAGGAGCACCCGTAGCCCCATGCACGTAGTATCACGCCACAGAACGCCTCAGGGGTACTTTGACATTTAGAATCGATTTCTGACGTTTCCCGAGTGATGATATGTAAACATCGCATTGTTTCGAATATTTGAACTTGAACTTCTGGTCAAAGCTCTCACGTAAATTTAGATATTTTGAAATACCGAAATAAAAGATGCAAATCTACTGATACAAGCTTGACAATAACACTCTAAATAGGGTGTTGGATTGTGTTTCGAACAAGGCTAATACCAAAAAGATACGTTGAAAGGGCGGGCCGAAGTTATATTCTGCGAAAGGTATGGTGATGCATTGTTTATATTGTTCGAGTATAGTGTATATAAGTATGGTATGGTTGGTTTATATTATCCGAGTATGGCTAGTTTATAATTTATGGCAATTTTACATTGTTCGATTACCCAGCATCTCCCAAGCGGATTGTTTTGGTGGCATTTTCGTATTTCTACTGCAAATACTCGCGGAGTTCTGTAATATTTAATCTTCCCGTCATATACTTCGGAAATCAAGTAACACGGATGGATATGAATTAAGTGCAAAGGGTTAACTTTTTTTTATACTAGTACTACATAGAAATACATTTATTATACACTCTTGCGCACTTAGCCAATCAGTAATCGTTGAGAGGGTCACATGCCGATCCACGGAAAAAAATTGGATTAGTGTCAAATAAAGATTAGATTATGGTTTGATTAAGATTAAGGTTAAGGTTAGGGGTTAGGTTTCAACATGTGTCGCGAATTTATTGTATTGATAAATTCGGACGTGTTTAATTTAACAATTTACTCATATAGTAAATTCAAGGATGGGGCTCAAGCTGGAATGCATGTATAAGGCTTTAAAACCTCAATAACATAATTGCAATTTATATTTAATACCTGATTACCAGTGGTGCAGCTGGTCATGGTAGTATATTCATTAAAGCTGGTCATGTTTAATAGGTTAAACACAATACAATTCTAAAGGTAAGAACAATCCAGTATGCAAAACTCGTACTGTAATAGATTCTCACAAAAACCTTGGTAGTGTAAACCAGCCTTAAGTCTTTTCAAACACTTTTCCCACTTCCAGCTTACAGACCCTTCTACAGAAAAACGTCCTGAATCTCCTCTCGCACTTTTTTAGCATTTTGCGAAGATTTGGTGCCAGCTTCTTTCTGAGAGGCAGAAAGTTGGTAATTTAATGACTAATCTGCATTTCATATCAAGTTATCGAACTTTTGCGCTATATTCAAATCCAAACTTTATCTTAATAAACTAAACTAGGACTTTGATGTTGAGCGTCCAAGGACATGGAAAAATTAACTATTTGCATGAGATGTCGCTCGATAAATATCACCTGCTACTTGTAGCTGTTCTGGTGTTAATTAGCGCGGTTATTGGGTTTGACTTCCACTACCATCATCATTACCTCGCGCTGGCCTGGTTTGCATGTAAGTGATTAGTGGTTCCAACTATAGTGATGGTGGTGGTAAAATGTTAGAATGTGGATATTTTCCGCGTTTTACCTTCAACACAACCATGAACCTCAGCTCTCATGGAAATGTGATTTTGCCAAGTCTTTGGTTGGATTCTGATGAATCTTGCAACAAGATCGGGTGAAACTTCTTGACGCACAACACTATCTCTGTCAGTATTGCCTGAAAATACCTGTTTTCAAAGAGATACATAATTTTAGCCATAAAATACCGGTTTATATTATATAAAGCCCATCAAGAACATTCTCCCGAAATTGTTTGAATGCAAATGAAAAAATGAACATGAACTTGAGTCTGATAATATGATTGCAAACTATACGGTGATCATTCATCTCACTCAGGTGAGCTTGGCTATTCACTCCCGTGGAAAGAAAGGATTAGCGAAGTCGCAGATTATATATTATACTGTATTATTATTATATATACAGTAATTTATAATCTGTGGCAAAGTTTAGAGTTCATCAATAATCGCGGACGCATGGGTTACCGTGCGTGGGTGGTCATCCTAACTGATTTCAAAATTGGTCGAATTTAAAATTTGCATTATAACGACTGCATGACAACAGCGAAATTGCAAACATTTCTTGCAGATATATTTCAATATTGCAAGATATTGTAAATTTCAAAAGCTTTTTGAGAATAGAGGCAAAATAATTGCTAAAAGAAGGAAGCAAAGGTATAAGTTTGTTTTAAATATTGATGTATTGTTTGCTTTATAATTTCTATAAAAGCTAATCGTTGCGTATAATGAAAAAAGACTGCATATTATTTTACTGTATCTTTATTCATTACCCTTTTTATTATATTAAAATTTTTAAATAAAAAAGAAAGCAAAGTTATTTGCATGCAAGAATTTGAAATCATTTTATTTCAAACTCAAAGTTTATCGATAAAGGCAGTTTAGTTTTATAAAGAACATTTTAAAGCGTTTTGCGAAGTGCTTGTGGTTGAATTGTACATTAAATTGAAGCTAAGATTATGTATTATAATTATAATAACATACCTAACATATATATGTTTGGGAAATTGATAAATTTGTAATTAAAAGTGATATTTTTTAGGAGATTTGTCAATATTAAAAATATTCTTAATAAAATTATCGTGTTACAATGACAACTACTTTTAATACTTCATGTTAGGAAAATATAATGGTTTTGTCAGCAAGGCGAGGGTTTCTGCATGCATGTATTTTCTGGTATGACTGTTTTTAACCCACCAAATATCCCGCATCGATCGGTGGGATGACATTAGGGAGTTTACGCATGTAAGACGGCAGCATCAGGACGATGGCTATCAATACAATATCATTAATCCTATGGCACAAAATATATGAATAATTAAAAGTGTATTTGGAGTTTCAGACGTAGTCCACGACAAAATGCATATTGTCACGTCTTGTAAAGTACGCTAGCATTTCAAGCCGTGGCAGGCGATGTTTCTAACAGCGTTGATCAAAATTGCTCTGTAGATTAAAGCTCTGTTTTACTCGTTCTAAACTGTATTAAATTCATAAGAAAGTAAATACAGGACAACATTTTCATACAACTATTTATTTCAAAAAGTTATTATGCGTAATATAAGCTTCAATTTAATGTAAATTTCAACTACAAACGCTTCGCAAAACATTTTAAAATGTTCTTAAAACTATAAAACGGCCTTTTATTGTGTTATCGGTAAACATTGAGTTTTTTGCTCTCAGAAAGGTTTTGAAATTTACAAAATCTTTGTCATTAAAACGTTTTAAAATGTTCTTAAAAGTAAAAGCAAACAATAAATCAATATTAAAAACAAACTTACCTTCATTAACGCAGGCGACTTTGCTCCATTCTTTTAGACGTTTTCAGACGGTTTTTCGCTCTCAAAAAGGTTTTGAAATTTGCAAAATCTTGCAAAAACCGAGGCAAAACACAATATATTTGCTGATTTGCAAGAAACGTTTGTTATTTCGCTGTCGTCATTCGTCATACAACCACAAATTTTAAATTTTATCAATCAGTGTTCGCTATTCGTGACAGTCCGCCACATATTTTGAGATCAGCGAGGATGACCACCCACTCAACATCGTTGGTCATCCACGCCCGCGATCATTGATGAACTTTAGACTTCGCTAATGCTTTCGTTTCCCCGGGTGTAAATAGCCGGGCGGAATTAGTTCCCTCGCCCCGGGTTTACGCCCGGAACGGCGCTCCGCGCCGTTGGCTCGGGGATTATAGGTGAAAATCGGCAACAATGTTCATCCCGGTTTGGTGGAATAAAGGTCATAAAGCCTTCACATGGAAAATTTTATCTCACTTGACAACATTTCAACTAACCTAGACCACGAGCAGTCCCTCGCGAGAAAGGAGGGACCACCGACAACACATCGACAAACGAAATACGCCCACTTTTCGCTCTTGTCAAGTTGCCTCCGCCTTTGCATAAACATTACTTATATCTAATTAAATCAATCCAATAGGAACCGTTAAATTAATATCATGTTTATTTATATAATCAACATTCAGTCTGGAAATTATTGATAGCATAATTACTACGTATCAGATTTGATAGAAATCTTGATTGAAATTTTGCGTTTTGTGAGCAACGCGTATTCCGTTTCTTGATGTGTTGTCGGCAGTCCCTTCTTTTCTTTCGCATGCTCGGAAATCTAAACCCGCGGAAAGAAGGGACACCTCGCAGTCTACGACTAACTAGGATAGCTCGTATCTCATACGATCACAAATTGGATTTCGTTAAACTCATTTTCTATATTTATTTTTATATAAAGGTTTATAACCTTATGAAAAATACCAGTCTAAAACTGGTATTTTTCAACCTTTTCAGTTTTACATACGACGTACTACACTTGTACTATACACTTTAATTTAACCAAGACCATGCAGATCTCACTCAGGTGAGTTTCCCAGTTATAGCTAGGCTTAGAGAGCAAAGTCACTGTCAAGTACTTAATCCCCGAGCCGGCGGCGCGAAGCGCCGTGCGAGGGTACTAATTCCCCCCGGCTATTTACACCCGGGGAAACGAAAGCATTAGCGAAGTCTAAAGTTCATCAATGAGCGCGGGCGTCGGTCACCAACGATGGGTGGTCATCCTCACTGATCTCAAAATATGGCGGACTGTCATGAATAACGGACACTGATTGGTCCAATTTAAAGTTTGCATTATAACGGCTGCATGACGACAGCGAAATAGCAAACATTTCTTGATTTGATGAGTTGATGATTGATAAATTTCTTGCAAATATTCTTCATTTTTGCTCGTATTTCTGCAAGATTTTGTAAATTTCAAGAAAGAAAGGGCGAAAGAATCAGCTAAAAGAAGGGAGCCGACGTTAACGAAGGTAAGTTTGTTTTAAATATTGATTTTATAATGGCTTTAAAACCCGACGGCCTTTGCGTATATGAAACAACTAAACAAGACAGCATATAATTTCAGTGTATCTTTAATATTGATTCCCTTTTTTATTATATTGAATTTTTTAAATAAAAAATAAAGCAAAGTTATTTGCAAGCGAGAATTTGAAATCATTTTATTGCAAACTCAAAGTTTATCGATAAAGCCATTTAATAGATAAAGGCAGTTTAGTTTTATAAAGAACACTTTAAAACGTTTTGTGAATTGTTTGTGGTTGAATTTTACCTTAAATTGAAGCTTGTATTACGTATAATTACATACCTAACATATATATGTTGGGAAATTGATAATTTTGTAATTAAAAGTGATATTTTTAGGCGATTTTCATTTGTAAGAATATTCTTAAAAAATTATTGTGTTACCATGACAACTACTTTAGATACTTCATGTTAATTCGGAAAATACAACGGTTTTGTCAGCAAGGCGAGGGTTTCTGCATGCATGTATTTTCTAGTCTACCATTGATTGTAACCAAACATAGGAAGTGTTTATATAGCAAGATATCTGATAAATAATGGAAAGCACTTCCACACTTCCTGCCTTCGCTTGAAATGTCGAAAATTCCTCATCTTTCTCAAGTATTTCGGCTAAACCTCAGTAGTTTTTTCAATTATTTATGGTATTATAGAATGGTTTTGTAGAACGAAATTATCGAGTTCAAATTTGAAACATGCAATTTTATACAGAGGGCCTATAGTTGCATTTTTCGTAACTGCTCCTGGTCAGGTCTATTAAATGTATAAAATATTCCATCTACAAAGCACTTCTGCAATTAGTTCTATCGAGTGAGATGCCCAAAATGGTATTCTAATTATTTTCCTACAACCTGCCCAAGAGCTGTAGAGCTGAAAAATATATGATAGTTACCTTATCTTGCCCTTCATCCCCTTTGTACGTTGCAAAATTCACGCCATCGTCAGAATAAGCAACAGTGTAGCTTGCCACCCATTGATCTTTGTCTGTGTGGCCTTGTGTGAGAATCTCTGTAACTGTTGCGTTATATTTGAAATCAATTTGCAGCCACTGGTTGGTTGTTGATGGCTGAGCAACCCAGCATTCACTCCCATTTAATCTCCCTTTGTAACCCCAATAATATGCATTCAATCCACTCGAGGCTTTTATTCTTGAATCTGGGATCTTTCCGCTCTGCATTCCTAACGCTTTAGGGTCTTTGCAAGCTGGAACGTAAAAATAACTTGGTATGGTTACATTTCTTGTGTGACTGCCAGATCAGACAGAGTACTGTAGTTTTCATGTTAAAACATTTACATACCATTTCCTAAATGATGCATTTTTTACGAAAATGGAGACATAATATCTAACAATTATTCGCCGAAGGCGAGGTGATTATCGGTGAATAAAAACCGAGACGAAGTCGAGGTTTTTATTCACGATAATCACCGAGCCTGAGGTGAATAATTGTTTTAGTATAATTTCATAGGTGATTATTTGGGAAAAAATTTAAAAATGCACATTTCTTCGTCATTTAATTGAAAAAAACGGCTTTGGCCGCCATTTTGAAAATCGCTTAGGTGATTATCGCGTAATAATCATCTCAACGGCAACCAATCAGCGTGGAGAATTTTCAATAATCACCTATGTAATTATACTAATCTAAAATATACCAGTGACGTGACGCTCACCAGGTAGGGTTAGTTCAAAAACTAAGGGCTCCCGACAGTTTGGGACCCCCATCAGTCACGGCCTATCGACCAGAAAATTAGTAAACATGAAAAATGCAGGTTAAGAATCAATGGGAAAATGCAAAATTAATAATTAACAATTATTCGCCGAAAGCGAAGTGATTACTGATGAATATTCACCGAGACAAAGTCGAGGTGAATATTCACCGTAATCACTGAGCCTGAGGCGAATAATTGTTTTAGTATCAATTTTTAATGAATAAAACAAAATATCCGAATATCAGTTCAATTAAATTTCAGAAACAAAACTGTTTTCGGCCTGGTCACTAATAGTGTTGCAGTGTTTCTTGTACGCACACGTTTTCAAAATGACTTCTTGTGTGACTTTATTACTTTATTACAAAATTGTTTTTTCTCGATTCCTGCATGGAATATAAACACAATAATGGAATGACTCTTTCGCCAAACTTAGAATTAAAAATAGTTTCTGTTTAGCATTAATTTCTTCAGGAAATGGTTGAGGAATTTGGTAAAATGAAATGTAAAACAATATCGTTCGAAATAAAGTTTTAATAACACTTTTTACTTTACAAGTTTCGAAAACACAATACAGCGCTCAGAACACCATACAGCACTATGAAAACATGACATATCAAAATAAATAGTATCGTGCAAATTGGGATGTCTATAGTATACAAAATAAAATGGATTTTAAAGATTATCACGGCAATTTGTTTCCCAAAAGTCGGGATGGTTTTTGCTATTTGTTTGAAGTGATTGTTTCGGAGTTTTGAAAAAGTTTTAAACTGTCCATGAATATGTTTGGCACATTAAAACGATAAAGGAATCCTGCCTTTCAAGCTAAATACAACATTTTGTGCTTCTTTCGTTTTCTGGGGGACGATTTTTTCAGTATTTTGTCAATTTTGAATTTTGAAACCAAATTTGCCGAATCATTCTTTTTGAAAAGCATTATTTACTACCCAGGTGGTAAATAATGCCTCGATTTACTAGTCAACTAGCAATCAGAACGCATGAAAGCTCATTTGATATACAAAATTTGTACTCATGCTAAATAATAAAGTCTCCATCAACAACGGTCACTGATTTTGTTATTCCATCTCAAATATAACAAACGTTATTCTTATTAGGGGCGGATTACATGGAGCATTTTCAAACCCGGTGTTGAACTCAGCCCTGTTGACCGGGCTGAAATTTCAGCCCTGTCTGTAATACAAAACTCCATCAAATGAAAAGCGCGATTACATGACAAAATTTTTCACGCAAACCCAGAGCCGAGTTCAATCCCTGATTCACCTAGCAGGGTTGAGATTTCAACCCCAGGCTGAACTTGACCCTGGGTTGAAAATTTTCGAGCATGCGTTGTAGTGATTACTTATTACAAGAAAACAAAATGGAGGCTATGGAGCCGTTCTTTACATTTGGAAATCAATTCCGAGAACGTATAGCATTTCAATCCCGGGGTTGAAATCGTCCATGTAGTCGCAAAAAAATTAAACCCGGTTAACAGGGCTGAGTTCAACCCCGGGGTTGAAATCGTCCCCTTACTTGTGTTGGAGACTGTTGTTGTTATATAGACACGGAATTTTCCAGAACATTCTATAAAAATAGCTAAATATAATATCTCAGTCTAACAATAACAATAACAATAGTCAACCGAGGCCCCCATACCAAATATGCCTAAGGGCCCCCTCTGCCTCTGTGTAATTACGTAGTTTCACCCAACCGCAGGTTTAATAGCACAACTAACGGGTAACCCGCCCATTAGTCGTGCTCTCATCAGACGAGCACGACTAAATTATAAATTCCAACGCATTCTATTGGTTAGATGGCCTCTCTCGCATGCGTGACACGCAGAATTTTTTCACTCCCATTTCTTGCAAGTAATTCGCTGGGGATTTTCTCGTTGACTTATGATTAAAAAATAGACTTTGGTGTGGCCATCAGCGTGAGAGTCAAGAGGGACGGGGGGGCCGTGTTCACCAATTTGTCCCGAGGACCGTGGTTGCCTCTCGCCAGCCTTGTGTAATTGAGGATCAAATTGATAAAAAAATAAGGGACTGTCAATTCTTTAGCATCCAATGTGATGAAACATTGGATGTGTCCACCAAAGAGCAACTTAGCATCATTCTTCGTTTAGATAGGTGGGTGAGGTAGTGGAAAGGTTTTCAATGTTCAGTAATGTCAGCACAGATCGCACTGCCCGAGCGATATGTGATGCTGTTAAACGGTTGCTTAGCAGATATGGTGAATCAGTTAAAGCTAAATTGATCATGCAAACTTATGATGGTGCAGCTGTTATGAGTGGTCATCTCAATGGCGTCCAGACCCTCGTTCGTCAAGATTACGCATTTGCATTTTTCTTTCACTGTGCCGCCCACCGCTTAAACCTAGTCTTGTGTCAATCTGCATTGAATATCAAGGAGGTGAAGCTCTTTTTCTCCAAAATATCTGCTTTTTGTACCTTTAGTAAGCCCAGCTCTGATAGAAAGGCACATCTAAATTCCCATGCATGGTGTTGATATCCCAAATCCAGGTGAAACTAGGTGGTATTATAAGTCCCGTACTGTCTCTGCTATCTTTAAGAGATTTGACGCCTTAGAGGGAGCTTTGATTCAAATTAAAGATGCACCTCGACATGTAAGGAAGATACAATTGACCGCGCAGATGGTCTACTCCATAGTCTCCTAGAATCCTTTTCTGCGTTTTATTAGATCTTTACAACAAAATTTGGAAAAGTTCTCAATCTTATACAATGTTCTCCAAAATTTTGTAGATTTTCTCAAGAATGATCATTGCAATGATACTGTCTTTGAAACCTGCTATGCAGCTGCTGAGAATTGAGTTGGTGTCCCATCCAGAAGATCAGAGCAAATTATTAATTATAAGCTGCTTTATTGTGAAGTGATTGACACCAATGTTGGTATGGTCAATAATCGGTTTCAAGATGATGACAGCTTCTCATTTCTTGATTTGGTGAACTCCAAAAGTTTTAGTAAGTTGCAAAGTGGTGTTCCAGCTGACAATTTGCAGCTGTTAAGAGAGAAATATTGGCCACTCTTTGATATTTCTAGTCTCGAAAACCAACTGATGTTTATTTACGAAGGTCAATATTTTTTAAAGGATAATCCAATGGAACTTTTATAATATATTTGCCAGATGAATATTCAGGGATGCATTACGGAATTTGTCAAGTTACTGAAATTAAATGCAGTCAGTGCGGTATCGAGTGCATCAGCTGAAAGATTCTTTTCATGTTTGGGTAGAGTAAAGTCCTATCTTCGCAGCACAATGAGTGATGGACGACGTGGCTCATTATGCAGGATATCTATCCATAAGGACATACTCAAGAAAAAAGAAGATTAGAAGCAGTCCACAAGTTGGTTTCGGAAAAGTTTATTGAAAAGCCAAGACGTCTTAATTTTCAATTTAGGTAAATACTACATCCAAATTTGAATAACTATAGTAATAACATATTTCAAATATCTCGTGCATAAGTTTTGCCTCCAATATGTGCACTCTTTAATGATCTGCACATTCTGTCATGTTTAAATTTACCTCTGCAACTATACCAAGCACATATTCAAATACATCCCCAGTGTGCTCTTTTATTATTAGTTTTAATTTGGACAGCTTTTATTTCTTATATAAGAACTCAGAGTTAGATCAGGTCGGGTTAGATTAGGTTTTAGGTGTAGGGTTGGGTGGCATTTGGATGGGAATGCGAGGGTGGGGAGAAAAGGGTGAAGTGATGTGCAAAGGTGAGCAATTGCATATCCATGAAATGTCCCAAATAGTTCCCCTTTTCTAACCACGCTCCTTTTTAAAAGATCTGAAAGGCGGGTTACTGGCGGATTACCAGTTTGCTCATTTTAGGCCTTTCACAAGGCTGTCCATGTCGGATTCGCAGACTTACCATAATATATGATATATGTGTTCCTAGGGATGCTGATGGGCTCTGATATATGGGGCGAAGCAGCAATTTTTAAAGTGCATTTGTGCAAAATCTGCAAATAACTGAAATAAGTTATGTCACAGGACACAGGTACAATACTTTATTAGCATGCCCCTGAAAGCAACATTTCAAAATATACATTAAAGTATACTGCTATAAGGTTGTCGAGGCGAGGTTGCAATGGCTAGCAAGGGAGGCTGTTCGCATTGCCACAACCGTTCATTACTGTGATTATTAGTGCATGCATTCATTCTCGTTGGGGTGTGGTTCATCTCGGTTTCGCCTCGATGATTTGGCGATAATTCAGCTCCACTCTTTTCTTGGCATGAAACAGTATTTTTAAAATATATGTATTAGTAAATATTGTTTTATCTACCGAAATGAAATGGCTAGGAGTATGATTACTCCTAGCCAAATTATCCAAAACATAACTATTTTCAAACATATACATATCAATATAATTATATTGTTTTGTTTTGTTTTGTTTATTTAAATAAATCGGCCAGGAGGATTGTTACTCCTATAGCCTGGAAAATATTTTCACATTATTTTTTGCATAAAAACAAAATAGAAATTAAAGCAATTTTAAAATCACTGCCACACAATAAGTTTAAAGGAGGCGTGATCACATTTATCAACACAATAATTTAATCTAAGTTTTTTCCGCAATGTTGGCTTTCTAAAATAGAATTCATAATTTTAGATCCATCCAAATGAGATTTATTTTCAAGTACGATCTCCTCTTTATCAACAGTGATTCAAACCACGACATTCACAACTATCATCTGAGCAAAACGCCTTTTCCGCAGGTGCCCGCCGTGTACAAAACCGCTCTAGACCTAGCCTGCATAGCAGGCGGTCCCTATAATCGGGCAAGCCTGGGAAAGACCGCCTGTTGGGTTTGGCAGTGTAATCGAATTCCCCGTCCACACGTGGACGGGAATTGAAGATTGGCTGCGAGTCTGAGTCGCTGTCACTCAAAAGTGAATACGCTTTAATATGTAACATACGTTTAGTCAGTGGTATTGTAAAACCTTCCTTACTCTGACTCTGTGTGTAAAACTGAACGCTTCTCGAAAGTCGAAACGCGAACTGATTGTCAAACGCGAGCAAGAGATAGCAGTTAAAGATTTACTCTTGGATAGAATGTTTTGGCCATTCTACCTACAGGTTATGGGAAAAGCTTGATTTTTACATTGTTCTTGTTGACGCGAGAAAATATAACGAGAATAAATACAGACGGCCGTATAGTCTTTCTTGCAACGGGTTTTATAACGGGACTACTACGCCTAGGCCTATTAGCCGCTTCACTTTCTGAACTTTTTATGGCTTTCTTTACCACACGGCTTCGTTCGGGAGACGAGACAGTTTATATTGGCAACTGAGGTTTTTAATATACAACGGTCTATTTGTTCGATAATCGATACGTACACAGGCAACGCGTTTATGTCTCGTTTGATTGTGGCAATCAGTTCGCTTGCGTTTCGGATCTTTCGCCCACACGGTTTACAAACTCGGTCGGATAGTTCCGACTGGGTAGAACTAACTTCGATTCCTAAATGAACTGAACACGTACAATTCGTGATCGGCTTATTGATCGGCCAAGGTTTTGCCACTGTCGTAATCGTTTCTTAATTTTGCTTGCCTTAAATATAAAATTCTCCGACGATATATAAGATATTTTCTCTATTGCCCCGTATTTTAGTTTCAAAGCACACTTAATTTAATACACAAACGACAGTGGTCATTTACATTTTCCACGGCTTGCTTTTCTACCTCTTGCCGTTATTCAGATGTCCTGATTGAAATTTTCAATGGCGTTTCTTTCGACATATTTTATATTTCCAATTTTGCGACCAAACAATAACATAGTTTGACAGTTCGATAATTAATCCCCGAGCCGACGGCGCGAAGCGCCGTGCGAGGGTACTAATTCCGCAAAGCTATTTACACCCGGATGTTTGAGAACATAGCGAAGTGCAAAGTTGTCCTCCATTATGTGATGGACGGTCTTCGACGTTATGCGCGTGCGCGAGTACAAGCTCGCGCTAAAAAAATGTTTTTCATTTTGAAAAGATGTATTTCACTCTTTTACAATATATTTTTGCGAGTTTATTTCACTTTTAACTGGAAGCAAGCCTGCAGTTTCATGAATTAGTGGCTGTCAACTGTGAAACAAAGCCGTGTGAAAAGCATGTATGAACACGAATTTTGTCGAAGACGAACCAGATGTTTTTTTAAAATTGAATTTAATCGTTGTCTTGGCTATATGAGTTGGATAAGTGTTATAAACAGTATTAAAATTCCATACTATACTTGCTTTGTGTTTTCGATTTCATTAATTCATTCATATATCTGCGAAATTTTTACGCCATCCTTAACTCAGTAAATAATATGTTTTTATGCAAGCTGGTGTTTACATGAAATTGTATAAATATAGTGATTAATGTTGTTTATTTGGGCCAATTTAATAATACAGCGTATATATATCGTGTTTTGATGTGTGTTTATTTATTGACATTGGCGTAAAGTATAACTTATACTTAAACCTATAATTAAAAAACTAGCTTCTGCCTATAAAGCAAATATATTTTGCCGTATTTTCGAGCAAATTACTGTCGGCAAAGCGACTGGGAAATTTTACACCTTACCATACCGGAGTATAATCACAGAACACATACGCCATCAAAACACGCCGTTAAAAGAACAGAAAAACCGTCAGAACACACGCCATCAAATAATTGCGGCACGGTAAAGTGTAAAGTACCCAACGACTGAGATTTTCAGTTTCCCCTGCAGTTTCACGACAAAGTTTCAAAACGTTTTTGGCTTAAAATTTAAATTAATGCAAAATGTAACGGCCGAAAGCCACATAACATAAAACTATCGATACACTCCAAAATATGAAAACCAATGATTCTTTCGATAAAAAATATCTCGTATTATTTTCACGTTACTAGAAAATACATCCATGCAGCAACTCCTCGCCTTTCTGACAAACCATTGTATTTTCCGAACACGAAGTCAGTCCAGTGAACTCAATCTATTTACCTGGAACGATAACATTCAGTCATTTGGCACTTAAAAAGTGAAGCCTCGCGTAAGCAACGCGTGAGCAGTGGCGTCAGCCCTCCACGCCATTTCCACGCCATATAGTAAGTCAGTTTCAGTCCCCTTATACGCCATTACCGCGCGCGGTCAATTGCCACGAAAAAAGAACATCTAAGCCAAACCATTTAGAATACTTCCGAAACCTTCGTCGCTCGTTTAAAACGCTCGTAGCACGGAAGCGAAAGAAGTTTTTCCAGTCATTGCCAGATCTGATGATCTCCAACACGAAGAAGTTTTGGTCGGTGTTTAAGTCCGTTTCACGCACTTCTAATGTTCCCAGTAAAATGGTGTGGTCTCAGGGCGAACACAGCGTCACAGCTGAAGAACCTGATGATATTGCCAACCTCTTGAACGAATATATCCACTCCACGTTCAAACCTTCATTATCCGAAGAAGAATATGAAGATCATCCATCAATCACCACCATACCTCTCAGTGAAACGTTGAGTGACATACACATCACCCCTGACGAAGTAAAGAATATCCTTCTTTCTCTGGACGACAATAAAGCAACTGGTCCAGACAACATTCCCGCAAAACTGTTAAGATGTTCTGCTCCCCAAATATGTTCATCTCTTTGTGATCTCTTCAATCTTAGTCTAAAATGTGGGAAAATCCCTGCAGCGTGGAAAATTTCTAACGTGGTACCAATTCCAAAGAAAGGACTATTAAAAGTAGTTTCTAATTACCGTCCAATTTCCTTACTTTCTATTGTCTCCAAAGTTTTCGAGCGTTGTGTGTACAATAGACTGATAGCTCACGTTTCCATCAACCTTCATCATCTCCAATTCGGCTTTCTCAGAGGCAAATCAACAACGGCCCAACTTTTACAAGTACTACAAGAGATCGGTGAAAAGCTCGACAAGAGAGTCCAAACCGACATCATCTACCTTGACTTTGCGAAGGCTTTTGATAGAGTTGATCATCGTTTACTTGTAAGAAAGTTAAAGAAATTCGGGATTGGTGGGACTTTGTTGAAATGGTTTGAAGACTACTTAACCAATCGTCACCAAAGAGTAACTGTCCTTGGCAAAACTTCACATTCTCTCCCAGTACTTTCTGGCGTGCCGCAAGGTTCAATACTTGGTCCTTTACTGTTTGTTATTTACGTGAACGATCTTCCGCAGGAAACATCTACATCGTCTATTGCTTTGTATGCTGATGATACTAAATGCTATCGTCCAGTTAGATCACATAAGGATGAACAATATCTTCAAAAAGACCTTGATGGTATTAACAACTGGTGTGAATTGTGGCGGATGGATCTGAATCAATCGAAATGTGAAGTTCTTTCGGTGACCAGAAATCTGAAGCTAGTGCCGTCGAGCTACCACCTTAAGTACGACACTCCCATCAAGAGAACCAATGCCCAGAAAGATCTTGGAGTGATCATCACATCCGATTTGAAATGGAACCAGCACGTGTCCATGGTATGTGCTAAAGCAAACAAAATGCTCGGCTTCATTAAAAGATCATCAATGGACATTCGCAACGAGAAAACCCGCCTTGCGCTTTACAAGACAATGGTGCGAAGCCAGATGGCATATTGCACGCAAATTTGGTCACCACAGTCCGTATCACTTATCCTTCAAGTAGAAAACGTCCAACGTCGCGCCACCAGATACATTTTATCACTGCCATTCTTGTCAGGAGTATCATACAAAGATAGACTTGTCAAAAGTGGTTTACTACCATTAACATACTGGCATGAATTCCTGGATATGGTCTACCTTTACAAAGCGTTAGTTCTATCTAATGACCATAATATCCATGTAAAGACAACAGATCGGTTGACGAGAGAAAATGATGGAACAGCAAAAATTATATTACAAGTTCCTAGAGTAAACACTTCAACATTTCAGAACAGTTATTACTGCAGATCACCCAGGACTTTTAACTGTTTACCATCACACTTACGGCAGTCAAATCTCTCAGTCAGTCAATTTAAATGCGGCCTATTTAAATATTACCAAAAGCTTGTTGAAGAGGTCTACGACATTGATGTTCCACAAACGTTTAAAACAGTGTGTGTAAAGTGTCATTTGTGTCGTCCCTTGTCCAGTCTTTCTGTCAAACTGTGTTGTCATTAGTTGCTGTTAACCCAGTGGAAATATCACTTTTTAGTGAGCATGTGAAATTTAAATTAAATTCCTTTTCTTTTTCGATCCACATGATTAGAATTGCTCAGGACCACATTAAATCTAACGTCTCAGTGATTAGCGATTTTGAAGCGATATATCCACTGTGTTAACCTATATTTCAGTATTGCATTAGCAGGTTACCCGTAAAGGAGCAACTAGCTCTGTGGGTTAAACCGGTCATGTGACAAGATTGTAAAATAAAATAAAATAAAATAAATAAATTTTAGGATCAGAGAACGTTTCACTTTATTGCATATTATCCGGCACTGACGCAACTAGGATTTATATGAAAAAATTGTAAGGGCCTTCTATGGTCAAGTAATTTTTCAGCTTCCCCAAGTGTGGAGACACTTAGAAGTAGCAACAGCAAAACACCTGAATTCAATAACACAACTATCAGCTAGACCATTTTTGCTTGTTAGGGAAATGCTTGGGTATTAATGGATTAACCAGTACTTTCTGGTCACGTCGCTTAATCATTATAACAATTGACCATGCAACAATGCGCCAGGCGATTTTATCTGTCAAAAGGTCAATGTGTTAATTGACCATTAACCTCTATATAAGTGCATCTACGTCTAAACAATGCAGTCTTATTACTTGCATTCCAGGGGTCATCCCAGCCTATACTTAGGCCTTCTATTTTTATTATTATTTTTTTAATATTCAGCGCTTTTTCACATGAGAAGAATGGGACTAGGTGATTTGGGGTAATTACCAAATAATAGCCGGAAATTGACCAAACCTGCCAAAGATACCTGCCAAAGCCAGCCAAGTAAAGGCTTAGGCTGGGGTCATCCTGAGAAAAATTTAGAACTGTCCATTTCGACAAGAACAGACTGTGAGGTAGTGAACGCTGAGAACGCAGGCTAACTGCGAGGCAGTAACGAGAACGAGGACATATGGCGTATTGGATACCTGAATGTCTAGGAGGATCCTGGGTAGCCTGCTCGCAGCCTGAAATTTAGAAGGGGGAAATTTCCCCCTTCTAAATTTCAGGCTGCGAGCAGGCTAGATCCTGGGAAAATTTCGAAATTTAGAAGTTCAGAGTGGCCATTTCCCACTGTGTTTTCGGAGAGACAGTTGGTTTTGTTTTTGTCTTAAATATCTGTATGGACGCTTAATTTATAACTAATTCTCATATAAAGCTCGAAAACTCAATTTTAAAAGTGCCCATTTTAAGTTTTAAAACTTATATATGCCCATTTTGGAAAATGAGAGGCCTTAGGTCAGGATGATCCCAGTATGTCGTATTCTTAATGATTTAACTGTAAGACCATAGTTAATTCTATCAACTATATGGTCAGACAGAAAGATGAAGGGGCATGCATGGACAAATTATAGAGATCTTCTTATTTACTCACACAACAATCCCAGGTCTGCCTCCCCAAACGTCTTTCTTGAAACTTCTTCTCTTCCGTAAAAATGCCAATATCGTCATAATTATCCCCTGGAATGGAACATTTACATACATTACGGTTAGCAATAATATTGGACTAATATCAATCACCACAGCTAGGATGCCTGAGGAAGGTCAATAGAATGGAGCATCTTCTCCCGGCAAAAGCAGCTGAAACAATTAGTAATTAGTGATTTCCAGTTTTGGCATGATTCATGGTCATTCAATACTTGCCACACTCAGGGACCATGAGAAATGAGCAGTGGGGGTGACGCAGAGCTTGAAATAACAACCAATCACTGATCGGCAAGAAATTGTTTATGGTTGGTGGAAAGCAGAGTTTTCAATCAGAAAAAGCAGGGGAAGTCTGATGCATGATCGGGAACTAATTGGGAGTTGACTTTTTTTCAAGCCCTGCATGGTGACTTCTTCTAACACCAGATCACAGAGGAGAGATATACAGAGAGGAAACTGACACTGGATAACCTCAATTTTTGTGTCACGCGTTCCACGCGCCACGCAAAATTTCCCAGCCAGTGCATGCAGTGCCGTCGCTGAAATTTCATAGCAAAAGATAGGGAAAACACCGTTCGAAAGGTGAAAATCGCGTTAAAAAATCTGTGAGGTAGACAGAAAAAAATAACCTTGGCAAATACACATTAAATCATACACAAAACTGAATGCTGTCCTTTTATAAATTTAGTTATTTCAGGATACTATAGGATGTAAAGCGATTTCAACTTTTATATGCGTGTACGCACGTATGAAAAACGCGTAACTGGAATGCAGTTTTATAGCGCCCTGCTTACAGCATGCTCGCAACACAATTGTGAAATTACAGTTGTCACTTGCGATTTAGCAAGCATGGCAAACAATTGCTCAGTTTGTCAGCGTCCAAATACGAAATATTTATGTGTAAATTGCGCTGTAATTACTACTACAGCTTTGATAAATGCCATACTTCTACTTTGTATACAAATACAATTCAAAATACACAACTGTTTCTAAAGTGACGACTCACAAGTCACGTACGCGAAAGATGAGGGGGAAAAGAAGTTAAGGAGTGACATTTATGACCGGCATAAATTCCGCTGTGACCGGTATATTTGAGTGATCCACCGGTCATAATGATCGGTATAACGTCCAGATTTATTTCGAGGCTAGCTGGTTGACATAGTTAATTGACCATTTGCGTAATAGACAAAATTTTGATTTAAACAAGTCTGGACAAAAATTTTATCATAGCTTGAATTAAGAGCATCACAAAATTAGTAATATTCCAATGTTTCGTTGCAAAATGTTGTAAAATGCGGATAATATAGCCTTGCGAAGTTTGCAATTTTCAGTCATTTTAGATTACAAACGGAAAATTGACAGCCTCAAAGCGTATCGGGCTGTCAATTTCCCGTTTGTAATAAAAAATGACTGGAAATTGCAAACTTCGCAAGGCTATATTATCCGCATTTTACAACATTTTGCAACGAAACTTTGGAATATTACTAATTTTGTGATGCTCTTCCAAGCTGTGATGAAATTTTTGTCTAGATCAAAATTTAGTCTATTATGCAAATGGTCAATTGACAGATCTTTTTTTTAAAAAAAAGTTAACCCTTTATGTGGCAATGCGCCCCACTTTATTATTTTACACTGTTTAACGTCAGACAATTTTATTCGTCAGGGGGAGATCTAGTGCTGCCACTCAATGGGTGGTTAACTTAAATGTACTGTTTCTAGTTTCAAACTTGAAAGTCAACCGTCAAATTATGTTATATTAATTAAATCTCGTAGCCTTTTTATTCATACTGTCTGAAAGCGTTTTGTATGTTATTTTGAGTGAATTAATAATTTAATGTAATACTACAGTATGTATTTTAATTTGCTTGTAAAATGTAAACATCATCGTTTCACTGCATGTATAATATAAACTTGAATTTTTACTTTAATTTATAACAATACGATACACGCTATAAATATAGTTACTTGCTCACAACCCCAAAATAATTATATTGGAGCTATTAGAGCGGTACGTGCAAAAAGTGGGCGCATTTTATTTCTTGATGTTTTGTCTGCAGTCCCTCGTTTCCTTTTAAGAAGGGACTGTTCATTTTGACAAACAATTGACATATCTGCAAATATCTGCAACCTTTATGCAGATATTTTGCAGATATGTTGACAGATAATCAACATATCTGCAAAATATCTGCAACTTTTATGCAGATATTTTGCAGATATTGCATGTAGACCTTGTTGCAGTTATGCTGCAGTACTGCAACAGATATGTGACAGACACTTGCAGACATTTTACATATATGTCAGTTTGGTAAGGGTCCTTTCCTTTTAAGAAGGGACGTGCAGTCTAACATGGTGCCGGCTCTAGCAGAAAATCTACCAGTACCTTCAAAAGGGCATATATGACATTCACAGTAAGTCTAAAAACTCACTAATATATACAAGTATAAAACAAAAATTAAAATGTAACTGTAAACTTACGGCAGGTGCTAAAAACAGGTAAGCAAAATAAGTTTGATCCACATCACACGTTGCAGCACTGAAAATAAATAGAAACATATAGTTCTAATTTTGTAAAAATTGGAACTAATTTAACCCATTTACGCCAAAGTGCTCAGTGAATGTGGGCATTAGTTATTGGGGTTTCCCCCATATTTGTTCTAAAATTATTAGTTTTTAAGCAGTTTCATTACAATATTTTAGTGCTTACCCTTTTCTATCCTATTCATGTTTTGCCGACTAGGAAACAATTTGCCGACAGGGCCCGGATACAAAAATTTGCCGAGCCTA